GCTGCTATAAAGTCCCCCCAGAGCCTTCTCTTCTCCACATTAAGAAGTCCCAGCTCTCTCAGCCTCAGTCCTCATAGGGGAGGTGCTCCAGCCCTCTGATTGTTTTGTGGCCGTCCTCTGGACCTGTTCCAACAGTTCCATGTCCTTCTTCTGTTGAGGACCAGAACTGGAAGCAGTGTTCCAGGTGGGATCTCACAAGAGCAGAGTTGAGGGGCAGAATCACCTCCCTCAATCTGCTGGTCAAATGCTAAGCATAGTCTTCTAAGCAGCAAAGCTTTTAGAATCAGATTTCCTTTAAAATCATAAAAATGGAGCTTTCAAAATAGAAAACATTCCTATAAAATCTGGAAAGCGGAATTGTCAACACAGAGGTGCAGCCAGCTGCTCTGTCAGCTCAGCAGCTGGAAAGGAGATGCAGCACAGATGTGGAAATGCCTGCTTGATCCTCAGCTTGCCTTTGGACAGGCTCCTGGTGGGCTGTCCAGCGTGCTGATGCTCCCTGCGAGCTGCAGTGTCCCTGAGCAGGGAGAGGCTCTCCATCACACAAATAATGTGTCCCATGAGAAGGACACAAGCCAACAGCCTGGCTCCCGGTTACACTTGTATACATTGTTCCATGCTTTGATTTTCATTTGTACCTGTTTTCTACTGCACTCATGACAGCTAAATACGAGGGAATGTTAAGAAGTAGTTCCACCAAATCAAATCAAACATTCTGGGAAATCTTTTCTTGCTTTCTGGAAACTCAAGAAATATTGTGACAGCAGTGAGCTGCTGTATTTTCTTCCTCTTTCTTTTGACATATTCTTACATGCCTTATGTCTCCTTTCTAGTATTTCCTGTAGCCTGCTTTGTTTTTTTTTTTTCACCTAGACCCAAAAAGTTTAAATAAAATAAATCCGTAAACCAAAAATTGCAACAAGCACATCTTAGAAGTATCAATAAATCCACGCACTGGAAGAGCTGCAGACACTTAAAATCCACCCCAATTTTAAGTACTGTGTTCTTCAAAGTACCGTTGCAGTAGCTATTAACCTCTCCCTCTCCAAGACGGGCACAGCAATATAAGTTGTATTTTGAAAGATTTAGTGGAAGATCAGGGCTTTGGGAGAAATCACAGAAGAGTAGCAATTAAAGAAGATTCCAGGAGGCAATCAAGCATTTAATGCAATTTGTCTCATAAAAACAAAACAAATAAGGGGAAAGAAGCTGTATGGGAGTGGGGGGGGAAGGTACTTACACTCTTCTTCCATAACAACTATTTTAGTTTCTGAGGCTGGTAAAACTTGTGGTGCTTTCGTTGTTCCTGGGGAAATTAAGGTAAGAAAGTAGTGAACAAAATATCTAATTTGAACAGAGAAGATTGGGCTTAGCTATGCAGGGAGGAGAACGAGAGCAGGGGCTGCTGGGCAGAACAGGCTGGGGAGGCTGCTGAAATGTTAGTACTGGTGAGGGGATGCTCAGATGGATAACTGGGGGAGAGGCAGACAAACACGCGTCCCTGCAGGGGCATGGCACAGCACATGTCCATCCCCTCGCCTTAAAGGGATTTATACCAGCTGGGCCTCTATCACGAAAGAAAGACAGAAAGGGCTCAGGGTTCACTGTGTGCACGATGAGTGAAATCGCCACAGGTTTTCACTGCCCTGACAGCTGTGAGAGTGCAAAGAGGGCAGCAAAACAGTGAGAAAAATGTGGAGCTGAAGAAAAGGTGAGATGGGCTCGTGATGGCAAGTCTCCACCCTGTATTTGCAGCTCTGCAGCAAAAAGTAATGCTCTTACAAGGGATGGAGGAGCTGGAAAGAGATGAAGGCCAAGGCCAACGGCAGTGTGGGAGCCCAACACATGTAGTGATTACCTCTTTACAGTGCAAGAGGCTGGGAAAGTCCACTGCCCACAGCCACTAAGGCAGTTGTCAGCAAGAGCCCCTTCTGGATCAGAGCCCCTCCTGACTGCCAGAGGCAGGGAGAAGAAAGCACCAGGAGGCAATGCTGTGTGGAGACAAGATGGTGAGGCCACCAAGAAAAGGGAAATAGAAGGGAAGCAAAAAGGTTTGTAAGAAAAGTTAAAGTTTTCCCGAAGTTCTTAGCAGAGGAGGTGGTGGGGCATTAGTCAAGGAGCTGCCTAGTAATTTTCTGAGGAAAAAGAGTCTGAAACTGTCACATCTCAGCTATGCTCTCATTCCCACTTGTGATGCCAATATTACACTACCAATAGAGAGGAAATGGGACATTCTTCTAAGAAAGCATCTAATTTACCTCAAAGTAATAAAAATCCGTAAAGAGCACCAAAGAACAACAGATTTTGATGAAACCCAGAAGCATTTCCTCAGAAACCAACACCCTTCCAAAGCTTTTCAAAAGGAAAGCTTCTATTTTCAAGCTGGGTATTTTGTGGAAATTCCAGAATTGCAGAGGAGGGATAAGCTGCTGGGTTTGGCCAATGGGCAATTTCTAAGAGACAGGGGGGCCATGGCACTGCAGCCACTCTCTTTCTAAGGAAAATCTCTTTTCAGTGTGGCATTTTCAGTGATTTGAGACAGATATATGGGACTACAGTGTTTCTTTCTGCAAGTGATAAAGGCTGGAAAGTTGTAGTGGAATAGAATACAGCAATGAGTACTTTGCAACAGCAACTCTGCCTCATCAGGCTGAGAAATGCTTGCCAGCAGAGACATCCCCATCCACAGACACAAGGGCCTTGTGTGTGAGCATCTCTGCTAGCCAGGACCTGGGGGGCTCAGGAGCCTCCACCCTCCAAAAGACCCTGTCACCAGGGATGGGGCAGCAGTGACAAAGTTGAATAGAGAAGCAGAATAAACAATAGCAGCAATAGCTGGAGTGAGCTTCAGGAAAAGAGGGAGGCTTCGAGGAGAGGGAGATTGTGCACCTCTGATTAATTGCTGTCAACTCATAGAGTTGTACAGAGCAGAGCTGAGATGTAGTCAGAAAAAGCTCAAAGAGTAATGCAGGCAGGGACAGAAGAGTATACGTGGGTTCAGAGACAAGCAGATATCTTGGGAAGCTTTCTATTGAAAGGTATCACAGAAGAAGGGAGTGTGCAGAAGGAAGATGAGGAAAGCTTCCCAGACCCCAGGAAGGCCCAGCAGTATGGAGATTGTGGAAGGAAAGAGGAAGATTCCATAAGTGAGTGCACAGGCACAGATGAATGGTGCTCTGCCCTGAGGAGCTCCAGGGAGAAGCAACAGAAGGGCACAAGCAAGCATCAGAGTAACAAAAGCCTACAGTGATCAACAACATCCTATTTACCTTTACAAAGGACCACAGCTAACTTTTAATTGCAAATACTTGCTCTCCTGCCAGGTGATCTGCAAACACCCTAACTAAGCTATCGGGCCCGTACCCCAAAAAGAATGGTCTGACCCCTTCCCCTACTAATGAACCCCGATGCAAAACTAATCATCATCATAAGTCTAGCAATGGGAACCAGCATTACCATCTCCAGCAACCACTGAATCTTAGCCTGTATGGGCTTAGAGTTTAATACCCTAGCCATCAGCAGCAGCGAGGTGTGCATGCCGCTCAGCTCAAAAGCCAAAGGTAGATTTTCAAGGCTGCTTAGAAAACAGATTCATCAAGACCCCACCACAAGCAGGACACACCAGGCTATCTTCTATTTACTGGATCTGCAGCCCCTTGCAGCCTGCATCTCCCACCAGGTAAAGGTGATTTTTGTGTCTCTGATTGCTTTTGTACTCTCAAATCATTACTGGGCAATTCAAGTGTGTCCTCACACTTCCTGCAACACAAGTGAGAGTCACCTGCTCCTGCCCTGGCCAGACAGGAAGAGTTACACCTGGGAGCTGCTGCAGCCTGATGTGCATTGCCCTAGTGCTGTGAGCAGCACGCACGATGATGCAGCAGGCGCTGCTCCATCAGTCTTCCTCTTTTGTAAGGGCTGGAGGAGTGGAGGAGGTGTGCAGGGCTGTGGCAGCAGGCACTGGCTGTGCTACACAGAGGGTTGTATACGCGGCTCCCAGTCCAACAGAGCTGTTTGCATCGTGATGGAACAGCCAGAGCATGAGTCAGAGAAAACAAGCGGCACTGCCTCTGTTGGCTTGTTCTAGACACCTTCCCTGCCATGATCAGAAAGAAAGCAAGGCTAACTTTCCAGGTCTGAGCATGGGCTGCTTTCCCCAGGCATTGCAAGCACTGGCATTGTGCAGGAGCGAAACTGAGGGGGAGGTATGCAGTATTCCAGCCTCACAAAACATTTGGGACTGCAGACCTTGCTGAGGCAGAGGTTAATAGAGAAAACAATGCCAGAAAGCAGTGGGAAAAACGCACCTTCCATCACATGTGACCAGTGTTATTGAGAGCACAGCAACAGTGAAACTGGACTGTGCCAAAGGGCCACATGGCAGAGCCAGGGCTCCCACAGCGGCCATTGAATGGCAGGAAGAAGAGCTGAGGCAACAGAGCTCACAGCAGCCATCCCTCCCCTGCTCACACCCTCCCAGCTTCTGGCAACCACTGCAGGGACTTTCAGAGCTGGAGGGCGCATCCAAATCATCATGTTAAGCAATATAATTACGATGACCAAGATAATAATAAAACCACCTAACCTCAGACTCCATCCGCTGAGCTCTAAGAGATGGAGCACACATTCTAGGATGAAAACCAAAAGCAACTTCACTCATCACAAAGCTATGGTTTAATTACTTGTCTTCTGGTGTGTTTTGCTTCTCAGAAAATCTTTAAAAAAATATAACATCAAGCCCACCAGCTTTCTTTCTTCCTTGCCCTTTTTAAAAAATACATAGACTGTAAGTTTATTTAAAATGTAAATGAACCACATTGCCAGTGACAGATAACAAAGATAAACATTTATGCTAAGCTTCATTTTTCTTATCTCCCAAGATTGTTTTACTTGATATCCTGAAAGCATGAAACAAAATACAAGATAGATCACCTGCAGAACCTCCCACTTTCTGCTTGAATGACAAATGGCTGAAGACATTTAGTGACTTCTTCACTTACCACTTCTCACATTCAGGCTGCCTTTTGCGGTGTCTTTCCCTAAAACGTTCTCCGCTTCACAGCTGTACTCCCCAGCATCTTCCAGCTTCACCTTGTTGAACTGCAGTCTGGAAATTTTTCTGTTGAAAAGTATAGCAGATATTTCTTACTCAATTGCTAACAATCCTCATGAATTAATAACCATTCCTGGCCCTGCTACGCTGCCTGGTAAGTTACCCCTCCTGCAGGAGACGGTCTGCCTGATCTCACCAGCTGATCAGGATTCAAATGAGACCCTTCCCAGGAATCACAGCCATCGTGATTTCCTAACTGACCATCTCCCTTTGAACCCACTGCTCTTAGCCTGACGCCATGGTTTGGTCTGACATCTGCTCCCACTCTCAGGAAGGCCACATATGAAAAGTCAAGAAGTCTTGTGAGGGGTTGAACCCAAGACCCCAACTCCCCAACACACCGACCTGCACCAGAAAAAGGCCATTTTACTGAAGAACACCAAGATCTGACTGCAGGAAGGAGAGGAGCAGCACGTTCTGCACCTTAGCAAGGAAGGCAAGCAGCTCAGCTGCTGTGGAGTGCCTCCCTTGCCATGTCCAGCTGTGCTGCACATTCAAACTCCCATGCTATGGTCATGGGGTAATGTACCCATGCATTCCAGCCTGCAAACCAAAGCCCTGAGGTTTGATCTAAACAACTCTCTTGTAGCTTTCTCTGGGCAAACAGGGCAGGCACTTTGTCTCCCCCAAATACACACACTCCATTGTGTACTACAGACACGTCGGGCTGACATCCACATGATCATCTTATTGGCCAGAAGCACCTAGGAAGATCAGAAGATGATGTAGGTGATGACTGCTCACCTGGCCTAACAACCCATGCTGTGTGCTTTTGTGGGAATGGAAGCTACATGGTGGTGGTACAGGAAAAGGACATCCCCTTTCCCTCCACCTGGCTCATGTCTCATTCTCCAGGATTTCTCTCTGATGACAAGGCAAAACCCTTTGTTAACTGGTTCGACAGAGATCAATCAGCCTCCAACGCACACCAAAGACCACTCATGAGACCACAAGGGAAATCCCTCATCAGACCCTCTGTTTTATATTTCCTTCTGGTTTAGATAGCTTATCAAAAAACACCCTATGCTCTCTTCTGGTGAGAACATGTTCCTCTGCTTCCTACCCCAAGCTCTTGTCTCAGGTCTGTGTCATACAATCACTTGACAGAGAAGCTTGGAAGCACTGGCAGATTTAAAAAGAGGTCCCACTGGCCTACATTGCTGAAGGCAGAATTCCTCTAATGTGGAAAACCATTATCTTTGGAAATATTTGCAACATTACATATGTCATCTAGGAAGGACTTTGGGCTGTGCAAATGATTTTCCATAGAAAGTCCTTCACAGAAGTGCACTGAAATCTCTTCAACACCCTGACATGCTGCTCTACAGGAGCCATGGTGCAAAGACACGGCGTGAACATCTCACTTGCTGTGTTAGCAAATGAAAAGCACTTGAGATGACTTGGTACAGCTCCCAGGATACAGGCAATGCCCTGTTCTGCAGGATGTGGTCAAGCATTCAATTACAAGAGTTTTGGCCCCATGTGGAACAATTTTAAAATGAATGTTGACAGTGTGTCTCCTGAATTCTACTAATCCTAGGTCTCTGCTACTCCTCAGTACAAAGTTCTGTGGGCCAACATGATCAAATGTGGGGGTCTAAACCAACAGGCTGATGCATGGACTTGCTGAGGAGATATGACAGGCACTGGATGATGGGCTTTGGCCCTATGCGGCTGTAGAAACCAGTGCAGGACCCCATTCCCCTCTCCCTCCACAGAGACAGGTGTTGTATCAGTCAGCGAAGGGTCAAGGCCAGGTCCTGAAAGCTGAAAGCGTTAACAAACACACTGCCTGCAGCTGCAAGACAACAGTTATTCTAATGATTATTGGCTGCACCGTGATCTCATATGCACAGCACGTTTTGCCGCGTGCAGTAACTGGAAAAATCCACTCTGTATCACCCACATCCATGATCATTTGCAGATAAAGGTTTTTAAATTCAAAATATACGAATTAGTAAGTTATTTAGTGACACAAAAAGCTAATGAAAGGGGTCATACTTGACAGATTCATCTCCACTAACAGGATGAGAGACATGGTCTTTTACCTGGAACTGAAGGAGAATGTGAGCATAATATAAAGCAATGCTAGTATTTATAGAACCTCGATATCAAGGTGAAACTAAAGAGGATTATTTTGTTTTAATGCACAAGACTGTTGTATTGTCAAAGGAGATTAATTTTATTTTCTAACACAGCTTGTTGAATCTCTCCCGGATTGCAAGATCCCCTTACAAAAATCAAGAGCTTTTTTTTGGGACCAATGACCTCAGCAGTACAATGTATAACGTCAGGCAAGAGACCTAGGGGAGAGAGATGAAAGGTACAGAAGAGGATGAGATTTAATGTAGAGCATAGCCACAGCAAAATGAAATTTTCTCTTCCAGTAAGCCCTGAAACAGTCAGAGAACTACCTTGTTTCAGAGCACCAGTCTGAACTTTTTAAAGCACATGGATCATAGAATCATAGAATTGCTTGAGTTGGAAGGGACCCCCAAAGGCCATGCAGTCCAAGCCCCTGCAGTGCACAGGGACACCCACAGCTCCATCAGTGCTCACAGCCCATCCGGTCTGAGCTTGGCTGCCTGCAGGGATGGAACACCGCCACCTCTCTGTGCACCCCATGCCAGTGCCTCACTGCCCTCAGTATAAAAAACTGTTTCCTTATATCTAATCTAAGTCTCCCCTCTTTTAGTTCGAAACCATGAATAATGACTCTTCACAAGATGAACTCCGCTGAAGATGTGAGTGAGATTAGGCCTTACGTGACTTGTGTGTGGCAGAGAGAAAGATGAGCAGTCCATCTCTGTTCCACTTTACTACTTTCACATGCTTCTGAAATACCTCAAAGCTGCTTAGGAAATTGGTTTTGCAAGTTTGCATTCTTCCTCCTGCTGCCTGGAGGGCAGACATTTTGTTTCTTTGATGGCTGAGGTGTGTTTGTAAAGAAGCGCCAAGTAACAGCACTAGGAGGGACCTTCCACAGTTCCCTGTCCCCTGCTGCCCTTCTGGGCTGTGCTCCCTGGGATGCTGGCCCCTGGGACAGCCCTGTTGTGCTCCTCCCAAGGTGCCTGGCTGCCAGACGATGCCATTCTTCTGGAGGAAGGCACTGCCGCGGGCTGTTTGTTCAGTGAAAGGGCTGGGGTCACTGACAGATGCCATCATTTCAGTGCAGCGTAACACTGTTGACATTTCTGTACTCCAGGGAAAAATCTGCCTCATTGTATTTTCTGACCCTCAGCCCATATGACTTAGCCACGCACTAATTATCTCCTGTAGTGCCAATGGAGAAGTGAGACATGGAGAATAGGTTGTCCGCAAGCCCTGGGGGGTGGAATCCACAAGGAGCCCTTCAGCCTGGCCAGAACAGGATCCCCAGAATACCTTTCCAGCCAAGAGAACAAGTCCCCCAGAGGGCAGTTCGAAGCGCCAATCTCCAGACTACAATGGGAAGCAAGGAGATCAGCCCTTGGCCGAGACCTACACAAAGATCCTGGCAAATCCTGGCTCGGAAGGGTGGCCTCATTTGCTGTAATTTAGACATCTCAGAGTTAGACACCGAAATATGAGCTTGGGCCCTGAGGCCTCCTGTACAGCGAGAGGAAAAGAAACAGGCGCTTCATCCCGCCCAGGGAGGAACTTTTCGTGACAGGACTCATGTTCCCACCAGCGCTTCGGTTCGCTTGAATCATTTTTCTCCTCCTGCCCACTGCCAAGTGGAAACTGGACCTCCTTCCCAGGCCACTTCCTCACAGAGCTGTGCACCTCGGTGCCCGCGCTGCCTGCGGACGCCGATCTGTGAGGACTCGGTGAGCCCTGCGTGAGTTCAACTGCTTCTGCATCATGCAGGACAAAAATAGCTCTCGGATTATTACTATTGTAGTATTTTATGAGTCTTCTAAAAATAGAAGAGCTAACACAGAAGTAATAAAAAAGTCATGGAATTAGCTAGTGAAGAGAACTGGAAGACTATGCCTTATTTGGCCTCTACATTGTCAATGAAAACAGTCCATAGTAAAAACACGTGAGATCCTAGGAAAAAGAAATTCTCAGATGTGACTCTCGCAAAGGGCATTGAATAGACTGCTGTGGTTACCTATTAACTCCCTTCCTCTCTGAACAGCCAGCCAGGGCAGGCAGCACAGCAGTGCTGCAGAGAGCACGGGGGCCAGCACTGTGCCACGAGCACTGCTTGCAAACCCTCCACTGATTCAGTTGGTGCCTATGTGCTGTCCCGGCACTCTGCACAGTGGTGAATTTGCTCTGAGAAAGCAGATTTATGGCTTGCAAGAAGATTCAGACCATCCAGCCCTCCAGCTTACAGTCCCAAAGCACCGTCTGGCAACAGCCCACCATCAGCCACTCTGCTGGCCTGAGCAGGGGCTCTCAGTGTCCCTGCCTCAGTGTCCCTGCAGGGCTCACATTCATCCTCCCCAGCAAGCAGCATGAGAAGATCAGGCAGAAGAGTTCATTGCAATGTGAAGCAGACCCAGGATGGCCATGGCAAAGCAGCTCTGCCAGACAGGGCAGAAGTGGCAGCCAGGACCATGCTCTCGCCTGCACAGCCAGATGGAAACAGCCCCAAGCTCTCCCCTGCCCTCGGTTGCAGAGCAACACAACAGAGCTGGGTAAGCTGGCTGTGCTTGTGGTGCCTGAGAACACATGGCTGTGCTGGATGCTATGAACTCTAGGGCAAGATCTGGCTAATTCAGGATTAGCTTTAAAAACAGTGAATGAGAAAGGGTAAAAAAAAAAAGCAACCCTCAAGCACAGCAATCAAATAAGATGGCTAAGAAAAGGAAGGTTCAGTCTTCTCAGCTCAGCTTCCATCTCTCCTGTAGTGGGTAAAGTCCTCCTTTCACCTTCCCTCAAACCATCACCTGCCCTGCTCAAGGTTTGACTGCTGGGACCGTGGGAGAAGTGAAAGATAGCGAATGTCCTTGTGGGGGCCCAGGGCAGGACCAACCATCCCCAGACCCCCTTTGCCTGACCTCTCCTACCCCTGT